CGGTGGTGCAAGTGTACTTGGGTGGCTGTCACTGATAACGCGATTCGACCTCCACATTGGAGCGGGTAGGGAGAAGAGGAGATTGCAATCATTTGACGCATTGACAGATGGTAATGAGAGTAGAGGATTCACTTGCCGTGAGAAGTGGATCCAGAAGAGCTCCCCAACCCATGCAAGTTATGCACTGGAGAGTGTCCAAAAACCACCTCGCCACTCTCTAGCACAGTCCATGCGTTGACGACTGTAGGTGGGGTGGTTACGACTGTCGATAGGTGAAAGGAGGCAGTTGTGTGGCCTGGCAGTGCATTGGTGTGGATGCTTTGCTAGAAGGTGAAAAATTGATAGTGGAGAGAGAGAGAGATTGCGTGCCATGTCTGCAGACATTAGGGAAGGCAGGTGAGTGAGGTGGGAGGATGGGGGATATGGGAGATGACTTCTGCCATCCTTTTCATCATTCCTTTTTTTATTACTACGATTGTTTGCAATGTAGAGGTGACGATGACGAAAACAAAGTGTCACCGGAATCGCCTCTCTCGCAGTACTTCCATTGGCGTCACGTGGCTCCTTACACCTGTCAGTTAGGCTGGGACGTGCACAAACTGGCCTCACTTGCCGCCAATCGGATTGATGTATTCATGGTGGTCGCCGAGTCATTTGACTCTCCAACTAGTCGAACCGTCAACTTCTCACAGGGAGCGGTAGTTATGGAGAAGGTACGGCCTAACACACTGTACGTTGCTAGGCTGGATGCACTGAAGGACAATACCAAAGTGTGGTATTACGTGGGAGAACTCAGGACACAACCTATAGGTAAGTCGATGCTTATAATCATGACAACATTCTCGCATTTAAGCGCGTCAAATTGTGGAGGGGTGCTACACTTCACTGCCTCGCCTCACTACTGGCCTCACTGTGACATTCAAACATGACATTCGGCATGCAGCGTTGACTGGTCGTAAGAGACGCTCGAGCGGAATCACAACGGCATATCGAAGGTCCAACTGGAAGACTGGAGAGAGAGAGAGCACCACGGCT